CAGGTTGGTTTCCGAAAGTGAATTTCGCCAACTAGGATGAAAAAGTTCTAGTAGATGCTATAGGAAATTTCAGCGTATGTATCCCACTCTCCTTCATCATGGGTTTCTTCGAGGATTATCGAAAGGTGATTTCGAACATGAAACAGGAATTATTATTATTAATATTATTATTAATATACTTTATTTCAAAAAAAGGTTTACATTTTATATAAAACATATAACAAAGAATGAAACAGTGTCACAAAACATAGAAAATAAATAAATTAGTTTGAATTTAGATATTTACATTCAAATATTCATCTATAGAATACGGTTCTAGTTCAGTAAGCCAGTTCTTCAGATGATTCTTGAATTTTTTCACACTATCAATCACTTTCATTTCATTTGGTAATCTATTGAAAAATCTAATTGCTGAATAATTCGGATGCTTTTCTGTTGAAGTTAAACTATGTGTTGGAAAAGTGAAATTCCTGTTCCGAATGGGGTATCTGCTATTATTACTTTGTGTGGAATTCATTTTATTTTTATGCAGATGTATGACACATTCATAAATATATAGAGCAAATATGGTCATTATTTTATTTGATCTGAAGGTACCTCTGCACGTTTCAACATATTTCATATTGTATAATGATCTTATAACCCTCTTCTGGATCTGGAATATTTCCTTAGTTTGACTGCTCGATCCCCAAAATATTATGCCAAATTTTGCAGTGGATTCAAAGTTCGCATGATAGATAATTTTTAGGGACTTTTCATTCAAGTATTTACAAAGTATACGAATGCTGTATGCTATTTGGTTAAGTTTTGCTCCAAGATAGTTGATGTGTGTATCCCACTTTAAGTTTTCATTTATAAAAACACCCAAGAATTTTGTGTTACTTTCTATATTAATGTTAGTTTCGAGAAGTCTTATACTAGTTGGAGTTGTAATTCTTTGCTGTGAGGTCCGGAAAAGGATAACATGAGTTTTTTCTTTGTTGAGTAAGAGATTATTTTCTGAGAACCACTCATCAGCTCTCATAATGAGACTTTTAGAATTTTCGCAGAGTTCTGGGTAGTTTGAACTTGAAGTTAGTAAATTGGTATCATCAGCATAGCTGGTTATCAGGCTGTTATCGTTGTTTAATATTGATATTATGTCATTCATAAAGATTGCAAATAAAATTGGACCTGTAATACTTCCCTGTGGAATCCCTATTCTGTATTCTTTTATGTGTGACTTAGTGATTTTACCTTCATGCATAATTTTTACTCTTTGTTTTCGATCTAATAGGTATGACTCAAACCATTTGAATGCATTGCCACGGATTCCATATTTCTCAAGTTTTGATAGCAAACAATTGTGGCTCAAGCAGTCATAAGCTTTAGACAAGTCTAAGAAAATTCCTAGCAAAATTGGTGTTGATCAAATCGAATCAAATCAAAATATACTTTATTATCGGAAGATTTTCATCTCATTGATGAAGTCATGATGAATATAAAATAAATAATCAAATAAGTTTATATAAATAAATAGTATAGAGCAGGTACTATAGCATTGTCACAATTATAATAAATACATATTTACGTAAACACAAGAAAAAAATAAAAGAGAACAGACAGATACAAAATGAATTGAGCATTAGAATACAATTCCAAAATGTTAAAATAGACATATATTTTAACTATTCCAATCTTTCTCAAGAAACTCTTGAACATTATAAAAAACCTCATCGATAAGTAAGCGCTTGACAGATCTCCTGAAATGAGACGGCAAAACTATGTTTTTGAAGGCGGGAGGGAGGTGATTGTATAGTTTGATCGCACTATAGATCAGAGAGTTTTTCGTTAAATTTGAAGACGGAATAGGTAATCGCAAATTGTTACTTTGTCTAGTGATACCAACTGTTACCTCGTATGATGATTTGTTTTTATGTACTAGACACACTGTTTCGAGAATAAATAACGACGGAAGGGTGAGGATTTTCATTTGACCGAACAGCGGTTTACAAGATACTCTTGGCCCAACTTTGCAAAGGTATCGGACAGCATGCTTTTGAAGAACAAATACACTATTGAAGTTTTGTTGGTTGCAGATACCCCAGAAAGGTATTCCATACCTGATATGTGATTCTATCAGAGCGTGGTATACTACCTTCGCAGTGGCTATACCCAGTTCTTTCGCCACCATTCGCAAAGCATAACACCCACGTGCTAGTTTTGTATTCAAAGACTTCACATGGTTCTCAAAATTCAAATTGTTGTCCAGATGGATTCCAAGGAATTTGCTCGTATACGTTTGCTCAATGATTACTTCAGTACTCAAAGGAATATCTGGTAGATTACATTTGAATGATTAGAGATGGGTTTTATTTATATTCAAAGAGAGCAAATTTGAGCTAAACCACCTTTCTACAGAGGGGATATCATTAACAATTCTCCTGTGTAATCTATTTATATCGGTCTCATGCCACAAGATGGTCGTGTCGTCTGCAAATATAGTAAAACTACCATCGATCTTGAGTCTAGCCAATTCGTTAAAATACAATAAGAACAGGATAGGTCCCAGTACAGAGCCCTGTGGTACACAATGTTCAACTGATCTAGTTTCTGAGTTAGTATTTGTTTTAACGAATTGGGTACGTTCACTCAGATAGGACTCGACCCAACTAAGGCTCTGATTCCTGAAACCATAACGTTGGAGCTTGCGCAAGAGTATTCCATGATTTACACAATCGAAAGCTTTCGACAGGTCACAAAATACTGCTGCGCAAACCTCTTTGAGATTGACTCTACTATATAATTCTTTTAGAAATGAGAAAACAGCGTCTCCTGTGCTTTTTTGTGGTTGAAACCCAAATTGTTGAGGATTCAGAACATTTCGAGCTGATAAAAACTTCATCAATCTAGTTTTAACCAATCTCTCAATAATTTTTCACAATGTCGGGATGAGAGAAATAGGGCGAGAATTTGTAGGATCCGAGGTATCTCCACCTTTGTGAAGAGGAATAACTACGCTAATTTTGAGGAAATTTGGAAAAAGTCCTTTCGTGAAAGACTCATTGATCAACTGGACCAGAAGTTCTAGTGTGAATAACGGCATATTCTCGAGTATTCTTATCGAAATATTATCATTTCCACAGGACGTTTTATTTTTCAAATGTTTTATTGTATCCATTTGCTCAGCCAAATCAGTATCATCCAGAACAAATGTGTCAGTAACGAAAATATCTGTCATATAGAGTAGCGGGTCTGATGCCACTTCTATTTTTTGAGCCAAATTTCCAGCTATGGAACAATAGAATTCATTAAGAATGTTAGGGTCTAAAGTAATATCATTTGAAACAGGATTTCTCCCACGAAGATCATTCACAACACGCCAGGTTTCCTTAGGGATATTATTACTTTTGGAAATTCTGTTATGGTAATACATTCGTTTTGCTGTCTCAATAACATTTCTGTAAATTCTTCTGTAGGTGATGTAATAGTGATGAATAAAGTCATTGTTGTAGTATTTCCTGATGTGATGGAGACTTCTCAGATTGATACCAGAAATACGAATTGCTTTAGTCATCCAACCTTTTTTGTTTCTGTTTTTAATTTTAATTTTTTGAATGGGGAAAGACATTTCAAAGCAGTTGGATAGTATATTATGAAACAAAAGAAAGGGATCATCGGCAAACTGCACCTCATTCCACTTGGCAATCAGACAATTATTGTAAAATTTCTTATAACTGCTTCCACTGAATAATCTACCAAATTCACATTTATTGTTACTGCTCTTATACATGATCTCAAATTCACAGAAAATAGCCTCATGGTCAGAGATGTTTGCTGACATAACTGAGCAAATAACCTTTTGTTGAGATAAATTGGAGCATACGTAGTCAATTTTACTTTCAGAATTTGGCGAAATTCTGGTTGGTCTATTCGTGTGCATTAGTAAGTTGAATGAAATAAGAAGACTTTGTAGTTGCTGGGTTAAAGGCGAGGTATTGTCATCGAAGTTAATGTTCAGATCTCCCGCTAATATAACGGTTGCCCTAGGAGGTAATTCAATTAAAAGTAACTCAAGTTTATCAAGGAATACAAAACCATCTGAACTAGGAGATCTGTACATGCATAACACATAAAGGTTGGCTGCACTAGAATAAGCTAATGAAAATTCAAATTGCTTTTCCTGTATAAGGTTGTCATATCTTATAACATTTGTTAGTGCTAAGTTAGATGCTGATTCGTGAATCATTATCAACGTGCCGCCACAGTTAAATTCACTCCTGCTAAAATTTGATAACATAGTGTAGTTTGGAAGATATATAGGTTCATCCTTTTTCAACCAGTGCTCAGTAAGTAGCACAATATGAGGAAACTTCATACTTTCAAGGATTATATACAAATCATCCACTTTGTTTCTGATTGAACATTAAGAGTAAAGGTTGAGATTATGTGTTCATTTTGTGAAGAAATGTTTGGTCTAAAAAATCATTGTTTTTCGAACTGTCATTGTTGGAGTGGTTCATGTCAAAAATTGTTATATTTGAAATTCTCGATTGATCGTCAACATTATTTGATGTTCCTATAGGAATTGTTTTTAAAGCAATATATATTTTCTTTGAATCTCGGTTGATACATTTTTTTATTTCATCGAGAAGTTCAAATTTACTACCTTTATATTTTTTATCAGTCATAAAGTTTATGGAGCAATTTCTATTATGCTGTTTGAATATATTCACTCGCTTGAAAATAATGTTATTTATATTACTGTCATGAACATCATAACGTTCTGATATGATTATAAGATTTGTGAACTTACTTATACCCAATGTGTTCTTTAGAAAAGTTTCCAGAGTTTGACTGTCACTAATATTCTTAGTATTGAACATAACAATGATTGTATCCTCTTGACCAAATTCTATAGTTTCCCTGAATATATTTTCTGTTAGTACAGAGAGTTCGGCATTCCATACGATTTTATCATCAATAATATATTCAGAGCTACCTACAATTTTTGTAATTACCCTAGGAAAGTCAGTGGCATACTCGTCCCCATAGATTAACATTTTTCTATGTGGGAAAGCAACTTTTGTCATCATTTGTCTTTGTGGGCTCGCAGGATCACTAGAAGTTCTCCATTGCGCACTGGTACCACAATCATGAGTGGAAGGGCGAATACTATCAGGTTCTATGATATCTATACTAAAATCAGTTGAATAGGTATTGCCTGTAAAGTTGGATGGTTTCTCCTTCAGATGCTGTTTCTTCTTTTTCTGCAGTTTCATCCCACTTTTGTTATTTTCCATGATTTTCACTTCAGTCGGGGTTTCAATTCCATTGACACATTCAATTGACTTTGTAGATTCTTCCACAGTAGGTTCTGGTATGTTGCATTGTGTGCTTCCAACAGCAGTCATGAATTCTGGTTTATTCTTGAGGATGTCGAAGTTTCCTGTTTCATCTCCATTGCACTCTGTTTGGATATAGGTGTTTTTTACGTCTATTACGGATTGGGTGCTGATCTCTCTTGTGGTTTTGCAAAGTAGTGTTGTTTGAGTGCTTGTTGTGCAAGTAGACTTTGTTTGTAGTTGTTCAATGATTTTCTGAAGTTCTATCATTCGTGTTTCAGCTTCCACAATGGTTTGATTTTGAGCTGCTATTAATTCACACATTTCTTCCTCGGATTTTAGGGCATCTTCCATGAACTTGTCCATGTCGTTTTTCAACTTTTTCATGTGTTTGTCTTTAACTTCTGTGTCTTCTTGTAGTTCTTCTATGGTTTTTTCCAAAATACTAATTTCATTCATGAAACTTTGTTCCATGTCCTTAGCTGAACTCATGCAGCAAATGATTTTATTATCTCCTACAAATTTGACTCCATTTTTATTTCTGAGTATGCAAGCTCTATGAAAGATGTTGGGACACTGTGTACATATGTAGTGAGATGGTACAGGTTTTGTTTTGCAACACTTGAAGTCAACCATTGTCAACCCGCAGAAATTATACAAGCACTGCACTGGACGGATATATTTATTATACCCACATAAAAAGCATTGACGTTTTTATTTTCCAAACTGATACCGTTTTTATTATTTGTTCATATTCGTTGGGAGCTCTTTGCGTAGATATATTTTGTCCTATGCACTTTTGAGATTCAAATATCACGCTATAGGACAGGAATTTCACTTCATCTTTTTCACATTCAGAATACAGCACATTGACGAATGCTTTGTGCAAAAGTTGGCTCACTGATTTCACAAATAACCATTAGAAAATCACGAAATATGGAGAGCTGTTAATTTTGTGTATTCTCTCTATTCAACGTATAAAATATGTTTCGAAGCAATGACGACATCGACGCAACATACAGTTCCGATGTGAAGGAAATTCCAAGAGTACACATCGACAAGATATTCTGGAGAATGCCTCACGTTTTATTAGATATTCCACAACAATTGCTGTTCACTAAAATGGTAGAAAAAAATCAAGAAATATTTCTAGCATTCCGAAGTTGGGAACTCATAGAATACCCCAAATTGCCTACATCCACAAAAACGACATGGCCTGTCAAAACGACAAATCAGTTGGAAACACCACGTCACATCATCGTTGTCTTCCAAACAGACAAAAAAAAAATAAAATCAGATTCAAGTAAATTCGATGATTGCGACTTGACAAATATTCGAGTTTTCTTGAATAGTGACAGATACTCATATAATGACTTATATCTGAATTTTACTGCTAATGAAACTTCCCAATTATATTCCATGTTCGCATATTTCAGACCATCGTATTATGGATCTAGTGAGGAACCTATATTTTCACCGAAGGAGTTTGTAGAGAACATCCCTTTGGCATTCATCGATTTTTCCCATCAGAAAGAATCTTTGCAAAGTGGATCAGTTGTGATAAAAATAGAGTTTGAAACAACCAAAGCAATTCCAGACAACACTTCAGCATTCTGTTGATAAAATGTCCAGCTAAAGTCCTTTGACAAAAATTTTCAAGCAATTGTAAAATGAATTCTTCATCCCCCCACCACTCTTCCATTTCAAAGATAACATTCAAGTAGTTGATAATTTCAGTTGTGTATCATCATCCACGCAATGAAGTTATTAAGTATAGATATCCAAGGGTTCTCGTTATCCAATACGTTTTACCCCAAAGAACTATCAATTTCGAATGGCTATTAGATCAACAACTATTTATTTAAAGCAGCCGTTCCATTTTGCGCACTTCAAGAAGCAGACAAAAAACAAGTTCGTTGGCTAGTACGGAATTTCCATGGGCTAACATACTCTTCTTTATAAATTCTCACAGACCCGAAATAGTCAATATCGAAATTTTTGACAATGTCATGTATACTGTCAAATTCAAGGCTGATAGTCCTCTATGCATGCACCATAATTCCAGTGACAACAATATGTACAGTTTTCGAAATTGCAGGGATTCACATAATTGGATAAGTAGTCTCCTACCCCAATGAAATTTTCATTTGTTTGCTGGCCGCCAAGATGTTCATCTACGACTCATTGAATCAACATATCAGAAACCTGAAGGAACTCAAAATGACTATCGACATACTTGAGATGACGAAGAATTTCAACAGCATCAAGATAAGCTCAAGAGAAGAAAAAAAATGGAACCAACAGTTTTTTTTTCAATCCGAGACGATTCCAACAAAACAAAATTACCACAACCAAACGAATTACTTTGGAATGTCCTACTTTCAATAAAATTATCAAATAATACTCTTTGTTTAATTCACTGATCCCTCCCTTAGGTTATATTCAAAATGTACAGTACCCTGAGTACTGCGTTCAATATAGTGGGTCTCAGAATACTTGATACTGTGACAAGCAGGAGAATTCTCCCCGGCTCATATGAATTTCTGAGATGCTTCACCTAATCCTGAATTCCGAGATCACAAGAATTTTCACATTGAAATCAGAATCGTATGTCGATGGCCCATAAAACATATACAGCGATTCTAGTATCAAGAAACCATAAGGCTGTTCTGAGATCATTGATGTTTGAATCGACCTAGGATCAAATAATACATAGGTCGATTTTAGTATCATTGATCTCTCAATCGACCTAGGATCAAATGATACATAGGTCGATTCTAGTATCATTGATCTCTGAATCGACCTAGGATCAAATGTACATAGGTCAATTCTAGTATCCTGATATTAGAATCGACATTGTCTATCCCAGAACATATAGAGCGATTCTTGTATCTAAAAACCATAAGACTGTTTTAAGATTATTGATGTTCGAATCGACTTACGATCAAATGGAACATAAGGCTGTTCGATAGATCATTGATACTAGAATCGACCTAGTATCAAATAAATCATAGGTCGATTCTAGTATCTTGATATTATAATCGACCTTGTGTATCTACTGCCTATTGAACTCGTTATATACCCTTCAGAGTCGTCTTATACGGTCACTGCCATCGTATCTGCTTCAACTGTATGCATGTCAGATGCTTGACGGCAGAGTTACAGTGTAAACATAGTCGAAGTCGAAGTTTCTTGTTGTGCAAGTTGTTGAAGTCAGGACACGTTAATATTGGTGCTGCGACCAGATAACTGTTGATCTGTTGAAAACTCTTCTCGCTTTCCTCTGTTCAAAGGAATCGAGCATTTTTCTGAGTTAGACGAGTAAGTGGCGAGGAAATGGTGGAGAAGTTTGGCACGAATCCACGATACCAACTTGCCATGGCCAGAAATCGACGAATCTCATGAATATTTTTGGGGGACGGAATGTTCAAAATTGCTTCGACTTCCTCTGAATCAACTCTGAGTCCACGAGAATCCATCCACCACATACCCTAAATATTTCAGAGAAGGTCGGCAGAATGAACACTTTTCTGGACTTAAAGTTAGGCCAGCTTGATGGAGGTGATCGAATACTTCAGCCAAAACTGTTGAATGTGACTCAAAATCTGGAGTAATAATTATAATATCATCAAGATATAACAATACATTGAGCTCGAGGTCAGCACCAAGGGCTTTATCGAGAAGCCTTTGCCAAGTCAGTGGACTATTACAAAGTCCGAAAGGCATGCGTTTGAATTGAAAGAGGCCTCTTCCAGGGACCGTAAATGCTGTATATTCCCGGGAGGATTCTTTCACACTGACTTGCCAGAAAGCCGATTTTACATCTAACGTACTCAAGAAGCGTGCTCCTCGTAACCTGTTCAGTATTGACGAGATATATGGTATAGGATAAGCATCCTTTTTTGTCACTGCATTAAGTGCGCGATAATCGATACAAAACCGATACGAGCCATCACGTTTGGGAACTAATAGAACCGGTGATGACCAACCACTCTTGGATGGTTCAATTACATCCTGCTCCAAAATTTCTTTGTCGATAATTTTATGTTTAGGTGGCGATACTGGGTAATATCGCCTCTTAATGGGCGGTGAATCAGTTATGATTTCGTGTTCTAAGACTGTGCTAAAGCCCAAACTTGAACTTATGAGTTTGATTTCATCTTCTGAAAGTTTCTCAAGAGCTTGGCGCTGCTCAGGAGACAAGTTATCATGAGCTTCAATGTCGCAAATTTGACTATTGGTTACGGAAAGTTCAGTACCAAAGTGCCAGACATTTCTCTTAAGATCTGGTATAACATCCATAGTTACCCAGAAATCTTGACATGAAATAAGCCGGTGGGGAATTTGAGGCACTACTAGAATGTCCATTACTTTCACTTTCCCCATTAGGTATACCGGGGCTCGAATTATTCCTGTAGAATAACAAGATTGCCCATTAGCAACTGTACAATTAATTTTCATTTGTTTATTTCTAACTAATCCTGAGTTAGTGAGAATTTCAAGACCTTTTTGTCCTATAATAGTCCTAGAGGCTGCTGAATCTAATAGACACAATAATGGATATCCTAGAACCGTGACTTCGAGGTAAGGCCTGACATCACCATCAGCATGAGAAGTCTAGAATTGCCTGATTTTTCAAAGAAAGTGAATTGGTTAAATCGTAAGCCAATTTATTAGGGCTGGGAGCATCTATTTGGCTAACTAGTGTCCCAGATCGGAGTTTCCTGAACAGATAGAACAATTCCTAACAGTTACTCCTAATTTTCCACAGCGGTAACAAAGCAACTTAGATGGTTCTGAGCAATCCGAAAACCTATGACCACTCTTATGGCAGTTCCAACAAGTCAAGGGCGTTTTATTTTTCCTATCCTTAGTTCGATTATTTTGGTGAGAACTCGCAAATCTTGTAATAGAGCTTGTACCGACAGCATTCACTATTCCCGGTTTACTCTCAGTTTTCGGCTTCGCGACTGATCGGAAACATTCGTATTGGAACCATGGTTACTTACGTTGAGTTTTCGTTTTTGCAATCTACAAACAGTTTTTTCAATTGGTTTGCAATATTCTACTAATTCAGATACCGAATATATAGGAATTCCTGCAATATGGACTTGCAAGTGAGGCAGCAAACCATCGGTAATTATGGACAGTCTTTCTGATTCTCGTGGTGTACGAGTTAATCGCGAAAAATGATTTTCCATACCAGCAACAAAAATTACTACTTTCTCGAATTCACCTTGTACCCGATTAATTATAATCTTTTGAATTTCGCGGTCATTATCAGATGGCAAAAAAGTATATTTTAATCTAATTACCAATTCATCCCACGATTCGATATCATTTCTAGCCCACTTGAACCACGTGTATGCGCTTTCAATGAACAGTTTAGTAGCAGCGCGAAATAATTGGTCTTTCCGAACACCTCGGGATACCCTCAAGTCTTCGACACGTTCCAGAAATGTTAGCAGACATGACTTTCCATCGAATTTCTCCAGTGGCCATTTATTCACGTCAAAATGATATCTAGACGTAGCATGGTTGACTGAGGGGCTTCCA